TGATGCATGCTCAACCTTGGAACAACAGGGCTCTGAGATACAGGGATCCAGGCATAGCCTGAAGAGGGGAAATAATACTAAAATGCTTGACTGTCTTATGAATATTGGTTTTCCTTGCCTACTATTGTAAAATAGGCACTAGAGTGGGATAGAAAAGAATGTTGGGAAACATGATTAGAAAAAACTTGTAAGCCTGTCTTCAGCCTATAAATGATTGGAAACCTAAAAGGGGTTCTAGAACTTGCCCAGTAAATAGGCCTCGTGCAAAGCCTTTACAGAATGTAGGACCTTAGGTGGAATCCCGAGTTCCGCCCAGAACCTTCTGGGGTGGGACATTCCCACTAGCAAGGACAAGCAGACCAGCCTAGAACAGCTAGAGCAATAGAAGATACATCTTCTAAGAAAGATCATCAGGAAAAACCCAAAACAAAAATGTCAGCATGACTGACTACTATAAGAATAAGCAAGCTGTTCACCAGGAAGCCATCAAGGCAAGCAATCAAGTTCCTTAAGGACAAACTCTCCTCTAAGACTGAAACTCAAAGGGAACACACAAACAGGCATGTAAGCTTGCTGTCAACCACACTGGTCTACTGGTGAGTGGAAGAGGGGGAAAGGCAGCAATGAAGAAATGGGCTGAGTTCAGCCACAGTCCATTGAATATCGCTGACCTGGAGATGAGAGAGAGAAGAGGAAGGGCTGGTTGGTCCAAAGTGTGGTGAGACTTTAGGACATTTGAGCCCATGGACAAGAACATAGTCACAGAGGGCTAGAGCTGAGAGTGAAACATTCAGCTGATATGAAGTGAGGGGAGAAGTACAAGAACACCCAAATTTGCAGATAGTACCCATATGACCTAACCTTGATGGCTTGATAATCAGAACTCGACCTGAGGAAGATTACCAAAAAAAATTTTTTTTTTTTGGTAAAGGAAACAAGGGTAAATTGCTACAATTTGATGAACCTGACCTATACTCATGGCGGTAGCAACTCTAAATACCAACAGAGAGGGAAGGAATCTTCACATCAAGTATCAACGCTATCCCCTGTGTACACAGGGTAGATAGGGATGAGCAACTTAGACACTAGCTACTTAAAATGAGGGGGCAAAAAAGGCACGAAATGTCTGGCTTACAAGGTTTCAAGAGGGAGTTTAGTTTAAGAGTATGGGGGAGAAGAAAGAGTACCCATTGAATAGTTTTCATCTTGTCTAGATGGCTCTCGTAAAGAGAGATGGAGATAAGATTCATATGATTCAATAGTGAATAATAGTTATCATGACTAATTGCGACTGTCACAATAGTAAAGATAGAAGTTTTTTTTAACAAAAACAGGGGAGTAGTTAAACTTACAGTCCAGAAACAGAGGCCCGTAAGACCATCAAGGGAGAAGAACACAAGCAGAATATGGGAACTTATCCAGAGAAGCAGCGACACCAGAGACAGAGGCAGAGATGGGGTCATGGAGACGGGGAGTAGCTGAGGACTCTAGATTCATGGTAATGGAAGGACTAAGAGCTGGTGGCCAGGAGGCAGACTTGCAGAATGTGCCCTTTGGAGGTATAAATTATTACATGTGCCTTAATGTTTTTTTGTTTTTAAAAAAGCTACAGTGAATAGAGAGAAATAGTGTTAACTGATGGTATATGGAGAGGATTATAATCATTGTAATGAAACAAGGTGTATGATTTGTTGAACGTAAAACTGATGATGTGCCCTGTAAACTTTCACACAATCCACAATAAATACCTTAAAAAAAACCAAAATCAATAGGACAAGAAAGAAGGAAAAGATCAAAATGGATGTCAGAAGACTCTGAAATGTGCATCCCATCATAGAGATGCTAAAGCAAATGGAAGAAATGAGGAAGTTAAAGAGCTTAGCAGAAAGTTTCAAACGGCAGATTGAGAACAAAAAGTCAAGCATTCTACTGAAATGTGCAAAGACCTAGAGTTACAAAACCAAAAGGAAGAACACACTCAGCATTTACTGAGCTGAAAGAACTGAAGAAAATAAATTCTAGTCTCAACTTGCAGTACAGAAAGATCGTATGGGCAAATATAAATGATGCAGAAAGCATCAAAAGAAGATGGAAGGAATGCACAGAGTCACTGTACCAAAAAAGAAATGAATGATGTTCAACCATTTCAAGGAAAAACATGTGATCAAGAGTCCATGGTACTGAACGAAGAAATCAAGATGCATTGAAGGCAATGGCAAAGAACAAGGCTCTGGGAATTGATGGAACACAAATTGAAAATTTTCAACAAACTGATGCAGCACTGGAGGCACTCACTCATCTATGCTAAGATATCTGGATGACAGCTACGTGGCCAACTGATTGCCCATTCCAAAGACAGGTGACTCAACTGAAAGCATAAATAATTGGATAATATCATTAATATCACACAGAAGCAAAAGTCTTCTAATGATAATTCAAAAACATCTGCAACAGTACATTAACAGGAAACTGCCACTCATTGCTGAAGACAGATGGATCTTGGCTGAAAGCAGAGAATACCTTCTGATATTTACCTTCTTTTATTGACTCTGAAAAGACTTTTGAATGTGTGGATCACGGCAAGTTAGGGACTACATTGCAGAGAACGAGTATTCTGGAATATTTAATTGTGCTCATGAAGACCCTGTACATAGACCAAGAAGTAGTCACTTGAACAGAACAAGGGGACATTGAATGGTTTAAAATTAGGAAAGGTGTACATCAGGGTTGGATTCTGTCACCATGCTTAATATGTACGCTCAGCAAATAATTTGAGAAGCTGGATTATATGATAAAGGACATCATATAATCATGGCATCAGGATTGGAGGAAGACTCATTAACAACCTGCAGTATGCAGATGATATAACCTTATTATTATAATTTTTTAACCCTATTTTTTGAAAGTGAAGAGGACTTAAAATATTTACTGATAAAGATCAAAGACCACAACCTCCAGTTGGTTGTACATCAATGTAAAGAAAACAAAAATCCTCACCACTAGACCAATAAATCATGATAAGTGGAGAAAAATTGAAGGTGTTGATAATTTAATTTTGCTTGGATTCAATATCAACTCCATGGACTCAGCAGTCAAGAAATCAAACCACGTGTTGCATTAGGCAAATCTGCTACACAAGACCTCTTTAAAGTGTTCAAGAGCAAAGATGTTAGTCTGATGACTCAAGCATGCTTTCTCCAAGCCATGATATTTTCAATAGCTTCATATGCATGTGGAAGTAGGACAGTGAATAAAGAAGACCGTAGAAGAGTTGATGCATTTGAGTTATGGTGTTGGAAAAGATTGAAAGACTGCTAGAAGAACAAACAGGTCTGTGTTGAAAGATGTACAGTCAGAATGCTGATTGGAATTTAGGATGGCCAAATTTTGTTTCTCACACTTCGGACATATTATCAGAAGGGCCCAATCCCTGGAGAACGACATCATGCTAGGTAAAGTGGAGGGTCAGCAAAAAAACAAAACGATACACACAGCATGAAGAGAACTATTTGAGAAAAAGCATGTATGTGGAAACAGACCAAAGGGGAAAAATCCAAAATATATTGTTTGAGGTAATGGAATTAAAAGTAATTATTTTTCTAAAAATAATTTTGAGAGTTGTATTTGTAATTAAAACAAGCAAGCAAAAACAACTAATAACTCAGTATGTAAAGCACTGCGACAATGAAGCTCTGAAGAATAAAAGTGTATATAAAACATGGTTCTGCTAAAGGATCATAAAAATATTTTGTTTTAGTTTGGATATTTGAAAATGTAAAGGTAACTATGTTGTTGTTATTAAGTGCCATTAAGTTGGTTCTGACTCGTATCAACCCTACATAGGGCTTCTGAGGAACAGCTGGTGAGTATGAATCACCGTTCTTGTGGTTCAAACCAACATTGGGGTCCAGTGCTTATCTTACAGCGCACCAGACCAGTACTGAAGCTTCAAGTAAACGTTGGCAGGCATTGAACCTCAAAGAAAATTCACAAAAATTACCTACCTCATAGCAGTATTGTTGAACTTTATGTAAAACTTTGTTTAGGTCCTTATTCAGCTGTTCAAGCTCTAGAACAATAGTTGCATATCTCCGCTGAAATTCAATGCTTATGGGCATGGAATATGACTTCTGAGAAGAAAAAATAAATCAGATTTTTATAAGGATTTTTTTCTATTTTTTAAAGTAATGCATTGTCAATGATCAAATAGGAATCTTGACCTGGACATCATATATTACAAGTTATTTAAACTGTCTATATTCAATTCTTTGCATGATAATGTCAATTGAAATTTAGGAGATAATCCTTGTTCCTAGAAGCATCATTATGCCTGCCAGTTCATCAAAAAAATTTAAATTATATTATATAGAGAAAGCTACAGAAAGTAAATACAGCAAAACGTTAATTATTGTTGTTGTTGTTAAGCGCCATCGAGCTGATTCCGACCCATAGCAATCCCGTATAAGGGATTCCAAGGAGCAGATGGTGAGCTTGAACCCCGACCTTGCCGTTCAAACAACTTTGCAATCTGATGGATTATTCCACAGCGCCACACCAGCACTCCAAAATTTTAATAGTTGAATTTATATGCATTTCCTTGTATTTGTTTTCTTTTTAAAACTTTTTCATAGGTTTGTTATTTTTTTTTAAAAACTTGAAGCATTCTAGTTATTTAAAGTCCAGTGATTCTCTCCCTGAAATCAATTCAATATAGCCTAATGGCTTAGAGCTTGGATGCTAAAATCAGATTGTTGTTATATGCCGTCGAGTTGGTTCTGACCCATAGCGACCCTGTATAGGGTGTCCGAGGATGTAAATCTTTACGGGAGCAGAAAGCCTCATCTTTGTCCCACGGAACAGCTGGTAGTTTTGAACTGCTGACCTTGCGGTTCACAGCCCGATTCATAATCACTACGCTACCAGAGCTCCTTTAAAATCCAGATTGTTGTTAAGTATCGTGGAGTTGGTTCCAACACATAGTGACCCTGCACAGGGTTTCCGAGGCTGTAAATCTTTACGGGAGCAGAACACCTCACCTTTCTCCTGGAAGAACCGCTGGTAGTTTTGAACTGCCGACCTTGAGGTTAGCAGCCCAATTCGTAACCACTACGCTACCAGAGCTCCTTTTTACACATATTCAATTCCCAAATCCATTGCCAATGAGCTGTGTGATCTTTCTCTCTGTGTATCTTATTTACCTTATCTGAAAAATGGTGATAATAAAAAATATTTATCTAATGGAATTATTACAAGGATTAAGTATATAGTGTCTATATGGATCGGAACCAACTCGACGGCATTTAACAACAACCACCATATAGATACTGATCACTGAATATTAGCTGTTATTATCCATCACACAGCTTTATATTTGCTCCCTACCAGCAGGGTTGGAGGATCAAATCCACCAGCCACTCCCTGGAAATCCTATACAGGATTGTTTCGAGTTGAAACAGACTCCATTGCAATTAACAACAACAACCAGCATATATAAATGGGCTTTGTTTTCTTTCTTGTCCTTCCATGCCACTGATAAGTTACACTCAACATTCCACTCCAGCTACAAAGGCTAGCAATGAGACTTCTCAAGTCAAGTCAAATTTGCCATCTCCACCACCTAATTCCCAAGAAAGTAGACAATTATATTCCGGGGCAACTGTTCCTTCTAGAAAAGTATGGTTAGGAAAAGAAAGAACACTAGATAATACAGGAATAAAACTCAGAATTATAGATTTTTCCAGCTACTGGAAACCTTAGAGATCACCTACATCATCTTTTGTCATTTTATGGATGAAAAAAAATGAGGCCTTGAGAAGTTAAATGCCATGTAATAGCATACAATGACTTGATGGTGATGATTATGATGACATCTAACATGTTGACTAGAGCTGACCAATGGCCAAGGACTGTTTTAAGTAATTTATGGAACCCAAATTGAATCCTCATTGCTATGCCAGGAGAAGGATACTATTATTTTATCTTATTTTACAAATGAGGAATGTAGGCCCACGTCTCACAGCTAATAACTGGTAAACGTGTTGGGCCAAGCCTTCCAGAATTCCTCTGCTACTGTGGACTGAAGTGCTGAAAGGAGGAGAAGAGGAGAGAGAAAGGACAAGTTCTATATAGCCTAGAATCACAGCCTATTTTTAGCTTATTGGTGGTGCTTCCTGGACTGTTTTCCAAAGCTAAGCCTCAGGTTTTTTTTTTTTTTGTGGTATTAAGCCCACTAGATTATAAATGCAAGGGTAAGGTTTACAGAGAAGATCATCAGTTTTACATCCTACAAATCACACACATTGTTTTATCTCAATGATTGCAAACTACTCCATGTAACAAGTTTTCCTGCTACCTCCCTGTGGTTTTTCTTTCCATCCCTCCTCCTTTCCCATCCCCTCTCAACTTTGTCGTTTTGTAAATGTTGCCCTTTTGTTCCTGAATAATTGGCCATTCAACAGTGAGCATACTTTAATTTACTAGTGTTGTTGTCCCCCCTATATACTTATCTTATTTACTGCTTGGCTAAAAATTGGGCTATGTGGGTGAGTTCTGTTCCAGACCTGAAGGGTGATTGAGAGCCCAAATCTTGGGTTCTTCTAATCTCTTTCTGAAGATTACGCCCAGTCCTTTTTATAATTTTGAGTTTGTTCCACCTTTTCTCCTGCTCTATTCTGGGACCTTCTAACATGATCCCTTTCAGAGTGGTTCATACTGGTAGTCAGGCACCATCTAGTTTTTCTGGCCTCAGAGATATAGTGTCTGCTGTTCACATGTTCCATTGGAATAACTGATTCCAAGCATCTTTAAATTTGTATCACTGCTTTTTCTTCTGCACATGGAGAAACTAAAAGTTGTAACTTAGATGGCCACTCATGAGCTTTTAAGATAGCAAGGGTAAATCTTGATAGATTTTCTTAAATGACATAGGACAATTGCAGGACCTATTATTAAGTTTTAAGAAAACGGAAAACAGCAATGGTGAGAAAAAGGCCGGGAAAGTTGAGTCAAGCAATGTTCTTCTGTCAAGACAATGTACGTGCTCATTCTTTGAGGGTAACAAGGGCTGGCCTATGAGAGTTTCATTGGGAAACCTTACCCCATCCAACCTACTTGTTATGTGGATGGAATTGCAATCACTGAGATGAAACCAAGTTTCTGATTTGTTGGATGTAAAGATCATCCACCCTTGATCTTGCCCCTTTCATACGTCTTTTTATTTTAAAAATACAAAAAAACATTTATAACGAACACGATTTGAGTTTCTTGCAGATGCCAAACTGTACTGACATATAAATCAGAGCGCAGAATTCTTCTGGGAAGAGTTAAAGAGAGATGACAACATCACTTGCAGAAGTGTACAGCCCCATGGAGGATATGTCAAGAAACATACCTTAACATTTGATGTTTTGATTTTGGTTTGTTAAAGGAAGTCTATACACAGATATTACTATGCTTTTTACATGGAATGAAAAGCAATAGAAATTAATTTTTTAAAATGTAATACTGTTTATTTAACTTCAAAAATCTTTCAGCATTCTAAACATACAAAAGAAATAACAGAACATTATAAAGTGTGTTTAAGTATAGAAGGTTCTTGAACTTCCACTGATGCAGTGGCTCTTCACTTTGCTGATAATGAAGAGTTCGACATTTGTTCAAAAACAGTTGAAAAACTACCACACTTAAAAAATACCACAAAACCAAAACAGAAAACAAAACCCCAAGTACTTCTCATGCCAGCTGACCCCACTTTCCTACAGCTAAGACTGGCAGCAGATGCTCCAGTCACTACGTACAAAAATGAACATAAAGGTGATGGTTGCTAACATGGTGAATGTAATTAATGTCATTGATTTATACTTAAAAAGGCCATGTTTTGTTATGTGTATATTTAATAATTAAGAAAAACAAAAAATAATTTAATATTAGCAGTATTTTTAGCACCTCTTCAAAAATCAACACAATTGTATTGTACTTGCTAATGTAAACAATTTAAACTGCCATCTCTTAACAAAGAGCAAGCATGCAATTTATGCTTTTTTTTCTTTTGAAAACAGTATTTTACAACAGCCTTTTCTCTTGGAAACATGAAGGTTTATGTCTAAATAACAGTACCTTGGGTGAGATATAGAGAACAATGCCCCTTCTTGTCTGAAAAATATAATGGTGTGTTATTGTTGTTGTTAAGTGCCACTGAGTCGGTTCTGACTCATAGCGACCCTGCATAGGCTGTCTGAGGAGCAGTCACTATAGAGGGTTTCTGAGGAGCAGTTTGTGGTTCAAACTGACCTTGCAATTCAATGTGTATCCTACAGCACCACACCAGGATTCCATAATGGGTGTACATATTTTTAATAGTTTATTACCAATGGCCAGGTCATGGTTACCTGTTGAAATTCTTTTATTCAAAAGTTGGGGTGTTTTACACTGTGATATTTAAGACATTAACACTAATGAGTAGAGAATTGCAGATTTTGGACAAGTTGAAGATTCTCTAAAATAGATAGCTGTCCATTTGTTCTGCTGGCTGTAGACGCTTCATACTTTCTTTGGACATCATTAGATATCTTACGCTTTCAAGAACAACTCTAATGCTATATGAATTTCATCACTCTCTAACACTAGTATGTTCTGTGCATCTACCATTTCACTAGAATTATTTATTCCATTCATATTACATTTGGTTACAAATCTAATGAGGGACCTTCTGGGTATTTAGATTACTCTAACATCTAGGCTTTTATATTGTTTTCATAATTAGTCTATGGAGACAGTCACATCTGCTGTAGCCCTAGACTTCACTTGTTTGTTTCTGAATGTAAAACCACCCTGTAACAAATCCTACTTGGCTGTGATGATGTATTGTTTTAATATACTGATGAATTCCACTAGCTAAAATTTTGTTAGGATATCTGCATCTATAGTCGTGAGTGGAAGAGCTCTGATGAGCAGTGCTTAAGTGTTCAGCTGCTAACTGAAAGGTTGGTTGTTCAATCCCACTAGCTGCTCTGCAGGAGAAAAGACAATCTACTTCCACAGATTACAGCCTTGGAATCCCTATGAGGCAGTTTAACTCTGTTGCACAGGGTTGCAACAAATCCATAGTCAGGTAGTAGGCTCATGAATAAGA